ATTTCAAGTGATCCGCCCACCTCAGCCTCCCAAAGTGCTGGGATTACAGGTGTGAGCCACTGCACCCGGCCAGGACACCTCCTTTGATCACTTTATCTAAGGCACACTCAGGCACCGCATGATTTTTTCCCCCCTCAACACTGTCAGCCCTGACATAGTATAATACGAATTTTTAAATGCTGTCTCCCTGGGTGGAATAAAGTCCACGACCATGAGCAGGGACCTTATTCCATTTACCAGTTTCTTTGGGGGCTGCTTCTTTACTGGTAAAATGGGCACTTCTGGGTTCAAGTTCCTTCTGACTCGGATGTTCTGGGGAGATGAATTTCTGCTGTCTCGTGGCAGGCCTGAATCACAAAGACTTTTTCCCAGATATGGAACTGTATTGCAGGTGGGCTTTTCGTGTTTCCAGGACCCCTGAGACTTTTTTTTTTTTTTTGAGACGGAGTTTTGCTCTTGTCGCTCAGGCTGAAGTGCAATGGCGCGATCTCGGCTTACTGCAACCTCTACCTCCCGGTTTCAAGCGATTCTCCTGCCTCAGCCTCTCGAGTAGCTGGGATTACAGGCCTGCGCCACCACACCCGGTTAATTTTGTATTTTTAGTAGAGACGGGGTTTCAGCATTTTAGTCAGGCTGGTCTTAAACTTCTGACCTCAGGTGATCCGCCCGCCTCGGCTCCCGCAGTGCTGGGATTACAGACGGAGACTTTTCTTTAGCGCCAGTTTCCCACTATGGGAGTCTGTATCCTGGTTACCACGGAAGATTAGGTTGCATCATAGTCTGGCAATAGTTTTTTGATCTTTAGACACAGTTCAATGAGAAGTATTCGAAGCAGTAAAAATGAATCACATTCCAACTTTTATTAAGAAGAGTACTATTAGATGAAAACACTTTTCACAGTGTTATATAAAAAGACCCATTTTACTTACCCTACGATAAGTAACAGAACCCCTGGGGTAACAGCCCAGGCACCAAATCTGACACCTCAGAGTCGTCCTTGACTTCCCTAACCCGCTTTCCCGCATCTCAGATTCTGAGAATTTGGTTTCTATCAAGATGTGCCTCTCAAGCCAGGCCTCTCCTGCCAGGACGGTGGTCACAGGGCCATCTCCCTCTCCTGGGGCCCCAACTGCCTGGTCAAGGTGACTGCTACACACGTGGGGTCGCAGAAACCCTCCAGTCACAACGTCTTCAACGTCTTGTCAGCCCTCTGATCGCACTAAACGTCTTTAAAGCCTCCCACTCCTTTAACAGGGTCACCTCTGTGTACAGGCGGCCTCCTCGTGCTAAGTGTGGCCGCGTTCAAGATTCCGAGACACAGACCCCTCCCGCGTCACTCTCCGGGCACAGGAACTCCTACTCATCCCTCAGTCATCAGCTCGAAGGTTTCTTCTCCAAGAAGCCTGCCCGGCACCCGAGAAGTAGAGCCGCGAGCCTTCTCCCGGGCGCCCAGCCTTCCCCCGTACAGGCAGGGATCATCCCGGGAGCCCGCGCCGGGCCCCGCTGAGGCCAGGGGCTCCTCGGAGGCGCGAGAAAGCCGGATAACCAGCGCGGTTACGGCACACACGATGCGGGGCCTGCAAGGATACCGGGCGGCCGCTCCTCAGTGGTAAGACAGAGGCTCCGCAGAAGGGATACTGAGGTCGGAGAGGCCGCGGAAACCCCACACCTCACTCCACGGGCCAGGTTCCGCCCCGCCCCGATGACGCTTCCGGATCCGGCGTGTGCCGGAAGTGGGCGGGCGGCGGCGGCTGCGCGCGGAGGCGGTGGAGGAGGTGCTGGGAGCAGCCCGGTGGCCGCTTCCCGCCCCCGAGCCGGAGCCGGTGCGAGTGGAGCAGAGCTGAGGTCGGGCCGCGAGTGGAGCCGGCTGAGCGGGCGCCGAGCTCCCGCCATGGCCCGGAACACGCTGTCCTCGCGCTTCCGCCGGGTGGACATCGACGAATTTGATGAGAACAAATTTGTGGACGAGCAGGAGGAGGCGGCGGCGGCGGCGGCGGAGCCAGGCCCGGACCCGAGCGAGGTGGACGGGCTCCTGCGGCAATATCCTTCCCTGACGCGGCGTCCGGGCCTGCGCGCGGCCTTCCCACCTTCCCACCTTCTCGGGCCCCTTCGGGCGGGCCTCCGCTGTCTCCGACCCCTGGCCCCCTCAGGTCAGCCTTCAACTCCCTGCCGACCTGACTCCCCTGGGCCGTGCTCCCCTGAGTCCTGGTCTCCCTGGGTCCTTCGTCCCCAGCCCTGGCCCCTTCTTGTGCAGCGCAGCCCCGCCGGCCCTTGGACCCGGTGGACGGGCTCCCTCGGTAGCCCCGCAGGTCCCGCGCCCTGGGCTCTCTTCCCCTCTTGCCTCCTCGTCCCCTCACGCTGTCCCTTTCTGGGGGCCCCAGCACTCCGTCCCTCCCTTGCAGGAAATCGGGCCTATGGCGGGGCTGGGTCGGCGGCAGGGCGGAGGTGAGCCGCATCTGAGTAACCGAGTGATCGGTGAGGCTGGGGCGCGGTCTTCCGGGGCCAGATTGCCGCAGGGCGTGAAGATAGGTGGGTGGACGGCTGTGGGGAAGACAGGACCCAGGAGGGAATGGAGGCGGCCGCCCTATTTCAACCCTGGGGTCTAAGGTTGTGCCTCCCCTCCCCCAGTCAGTCTAACCCTCCCGCTTAATGCTGAGAAAGGGGAACCCTGTGGTTCCTCTGGTCACCTTGGTGGTCTCAGCTACGCTCAGCAAGTGAGTGTTGGCTCCCCCCAGTACCCTTCTGGTGCAGGAAGCAGCGGAAAGAACTAGTAGTTCAGAGCTAAGAAAAACCAGACACCTTGAAGTGAAGTGTGAAAGTAGAGCCCCACGCCTGGAAATGACTGTTCTTGTGGCCACAGAAAACAGCATTTAGAAAAGATTAAAAATAGAGGTGATTGTCACAGCCTTGCTTGGTCCTTTAGCAGTATGAGCGCAGGAAACTGACTTATTCTCACCGGAAGGATTTTTCTTTATTCAAATGGTGTTCCAGGAAGCCTGTCCCCTCCCCCCGCACGGGCGGGGGCAGGGTTGGAGGCCCATGCTGTACATAAATCAGGTTCTCGGTGTTGAACCAGTTGACTCAGCTTGGAAAGTGGGGCCTGCTGCTTTAGGGGGAGCCCGGCAGTGCTCCTCAGTGTGCCATTAAAACGAAAACCTTCAGACTTGGTTTGAACAGGAATGTGTTTTCGGAAGTGGAGATTCAAGCTTGTCATTCCTGCCCCATCAGGATCTCCCAGTCCACCCTAGTTATGAAATGGGGTCAAGGGAAGGGTCCCCAGGAGGGAAGGTTGGTTGTAGTCAGGTGCAGGGCCTGGCTTATGGAGGGTCAGTGCTGAAGGGGGCTCCAAGGTCAGGCCTTTGGCCGAGGACCCTCACTGAACAGATGAGGAGGTCAAGCCTGTCAGCTGCTGCCTTGGTCTGGGTGCAGAGCCTTGTTGAAGGTCATGTCCTGGGACTCCCCTGCCTGGTGACAGGTTCCTTGAGGCTGCTTAGAGGCCTGGGCTTAGCACATCCCGGGGATAGTCGTTTCTCCATTCATGGCAGCGGCAGAAACCTTGTTACCATGGAGAGTGTTCCACCTGGGGTTGGGGAAAGGGAGGTTAGCGGATAAAGAGAACTGAAACCCTGGCAAATACCGGACCCAGGTAGGGAGGAGAATGGAACTGATATTTATTGAGTCTCTATCATGTGCCAAGAATTGGACTTAGACCATTGAGGACAGGGGAGCAGGGAGAGGGAGAGAAGGATTGGGGTTAGGGAGGGCAGAGAGGGACCCTGTCCTGGGGCTATATAGGGAAGTGTGTGTGGCGGGAGATCACGCAGATGGGGTAGAAGGAACTCGGCTGTGCATCTTCGCACACCGCGCGCCATCATGCTCTGGCTCTGACCTCGGATAGGTCACATACCCTTTCACAACTCAGCATTCTCCTCTGTGACGTGGCAGACAGCCGTGCTGGCTTCCTAGGTTCTGTGGGAGCCTTATGGGCTAACATCAGCATCACGGGGCACACAGCAAGTGTCTGCTCAGGTCTGCAGCTAGAGCGGCAGCACGGGATTGTGGGAGGAGCTTGGGTGCCAGGGCCATCTAGACAGCTTAGTTTTGTGACCCTGTGCAGGTAATTTCCGTTCTCTGAGCCTCAATTCCATTGCCTTTAAAATGAGATAATGATTGTTGTTACTGGGATTTTTGGAATGAGATGGCATGTGAAAGCACCAGGCATAGGATCCGAGACCTTGTGGCGATTTAAAAGTATGAGTTCCTTTCCCCCTCAGTGAAGCAGCTTCTAGACTTCTGGATCAGGGCTCTGTCCAGAGCAGTGGTTTTGAGCGATTTTGCACCCCTCCCCTCCACCTCAGGAAATTAGAAACGTTTTGATAGTTACAGCTTGGGGATGCCACTGGAATCCAGTGGGCAGAGGCCTATGACCCACAGCTGAGATCCCACGTCGGAGAATCGTGGGTCCACAGTGTCAGTTGTGCCGTGATTGAGGAAGATCTAGAGATCAAGGGCTGGGCAGGGTTCCCCCACCACCACAGCCTATTCTCTGAAAAGGTCTAAAGCCAGCCAAGTATGACAGCCGGCTTCATGAATGATAGGTGATTTCAGGGAGGCCCTCCCTGCACCCCACATCACCCAGCTGCTGAAGGCCCTCACCCATCAATGGACCGAGTGATTGCTGGACACATGGTGCTGAGGTAACGCCACAGCAGGGGCTTTTTGCCCCCGTGGACTAGTTTTATCCCTGCCCTTCCCCATCCATCATTTGAATGATTCCATTTGTTAATTGTGCCAGGTTTATATGAAGAGCAAGTGAGCCTATGTTTTCTGTTCAGCCTATGGGATCCTGCTTATTGCTTTGGGGACACCACATTAGAAAAGAGTTACAAGGTCCGGGCACGGTGGCTCACACCTGTAATCCCAGCACTTTGGGAGGCCGAGGCTGGCGGATCACGAGGTCAGGAGATCGAGACCATTTTGCCTAACACAGTGAAACCCCGTCTCTACTAAAAATACAAAAAAAAAAATTAGGTGTGGTGGTGGGTGCCTGTAGTCCCAGCTACTCGGGAGGCTGAAGTAGGAGAATGGCATGAACCCGGGAGGCAGAGCTTGCAGTGAGCCGAGATGGCACCACTGCACTCCAGCCTGGGCGACAGAGCGAGACTCCATCTCAAAAAAAAAAAAAAAAAAAGGAAGAGTTAAAAGGTAGCGGTTATCAGTGGCTGATATCAGGCTGGCCTTGTTTGGATGGGGGAAAAGAAACTCCAGAGCTGAAAGACAGAGGGACTGGGCTGCCTCTTGAGTGTGGAAGGTGGATCAGAGCCAAGCAGGGAGCTGGGGAACCAGGGCTGGGAGTGGCTCGCCTGGTGGCGCAGACCCAGCTCACTCAAGATGGAGCTCACACTGGGGAAGCCAGGAGATTCAGCTCTGCTCCGAAGGCCCTTCCTGTCTGCACGTGGGTATCACTGCGTGAAGAGGAGTAGAGACCCGATTGGGCAGAAGCCATTCCTTGTTCTATTTTTGAAGCTTTTTGGCTGAAGCCAGTGTTTCACACGAGGAAATGAAAGTTGGCTGATGTAATTCAGTTTAAAATAGGTGTCACCTTTGGGGACCTAACCCAGATTGTAATTTTCTTTTGCATGCTGGGTATTCAGAACTCAGCAAAGAATGTGTTGTCAGGATTGCAACTGAGGTTGGGGGTGGGTAACGGTGGAGACTGGCTCATTGTTGACAAAAGCTTCTGTTAGATTGATAAACTCTTTCCAGGTAACAGTTGGGACCTCATTGATCCCAATAGGTCTTAGAAGTTCTAGCACATCTAAATTTCCTTAATAGTTTAATTGACGAAGAGCATTGATGAAGAACTGGGAGATCTCCCTTTGTACCTACATTTCCCCCTTTTTAGAGTGAGAAGATGAGAACGGCCTCCAGTTCGCATGTACGGGTGCTGTGAGGATCCAGCAGGGGAGATACAGTGCCCAGCACCAAGCAGGGGCAAGTGAGCGCAGTCCAGTTTTACAGCAAGTTACCCCTCAAGGGCAGTTGCTTTGATGGGGAAGGTAGAGAGGGAGGAAGAAGGAGGGTTTGCATGGTTGGCAGAGGTCCCCTGCACCCTCCCTGTGCGGGCGGTAAACAGTCTCTGCCCACCTGGAAGCCGTGGAAGGTGGGTGGTATGGATGAGATCCCATCTGACTGTTCCCTGAGCTGTTTCTGAAGTGAGCTTGTTAATGACAGTGTGGACATGCTTGAGCCTAGCCATCCTTAACTGGTGGTGATGCACAGGGGACATGCTTCGGGCATTCCATGCAGCCTTGCGGAACTCACCCGTCAACACCAAGAATCAAGCTGTGAAGGTAAAGGGGTGGCGCTGCGGCTCTGCTGGGTGCTGTTGGGACCAGGGCTGTGGGTGTCTGGCCAGTGGGAGTGTGAGCTCCTCGGGGCTCTGGGCGGCGTCCGTTTCATCCGCATCAGAGGGAATGAGCTGGCACTGGGCAGTGCTTCCACGGGAGCCTCCTGGCACTCCCTAGGTAGTGAGGCTCCTCTGACATCAAAGCTGTCAGTGTTTATACGAGAAACTCCCCAGGGAAGCCTTCACTCCCGCTCGCGGCCTCGTAGGCTGAGAAGTCAGCCTGGCCCTGGCTGATGAGGAAAATGCATGAATTCGCTCACCTGTGGTGCTTATGCTCCTACAGCCTGAATAGGCTTTGTCTGCCCAAGGATTTTAAGTACCTGTATGCTTTCCTACCTTCTAAAAACTAAATTGTGCTTACTGCATCACCAAGGCTAAAATTTGGTTCAGGGAAAGGGGTCTCCCTGCAGCCGGGATTCTAGCAGCTGTGACAGCATCTTGATGTCACCGATGGCTGCACCTTCACAGAGTTCTGGGGAACGGCCCCACCCTTCTGGGTGTGAACACAAGAGGGATGCTGGAGCCGAGTCAACTTGGTTTGATTTTTTGATAGTCCACCACCATTGTGGAGTATAATAAGGCCTTATTGGTGTCATCTAAAATAGTGATGGGCTGGGTGCCGTGGTTTATGCCTGTAATCCCAGCACTTTGGTAGATGGAAGGATCACTTGAGCTCAGGAGTTTGAGACCAGCCTGGGCAACATAGCAAGACTTTGTCAGTATTAAAAATTAAAAAAATAATTAGCTGGGCATGGTGGTATGTGCCTGTAGCCCTAACTGAGGTGGGAGGATTGCTTGAGCCTGGGAGAGGCTGCAGTGAGCTGAGCTTGCACCACTGCACTCCAGCCTAGGCAACAGAGCGAGACCCTGCCCCTCTCTCCCTCTCTTTTTCCCTCGTTTTTATTTTCTCTCTCTCTCTCAGAGTTGATACTTGTCCTAGTAAACTACTTACTCCCCCCAAAATAAGTAGAATAACTTGTTGGCATAAATAAAAGATACTTTGAAATTTAAATACACAAAAGACCTTCTATCCTGCTTATTTAAACCATCCTGGACGAATTAGAAACTGGGTGGTGTTTCTGGAGACCTGTGTCCTTGCTTTGGTGTGGGGCATGGCGGCCTGCACAGCTCTGGGCCTCACTTGCTCTTTTTCGTCTGCAGGAGCGAGCCCAGGGCGTGGTGCTGAAAGTGCTCACAAACTTCAAGAGCAGCGAGATTGAGCAGGCTGTGCAGTCACTGGACAGAAACGGTGTTGACTTGTTAATGAAGTACATTTATAAAGGCTTTGAGAAGCCCACAGAAAATAGCAGTGCAGTGTTACTCCAGTGGCACGAAAAGGTATGTGAACGCTGCCATGCACCCCAGTGAGCCACCTGGCTTGCCCCAGTGTTCAATCAGCAGGCCAGATTTTCCAGAACAAACGTAGGTCGGTCTGCTAGGCGTGTGGGGTCAGAGGACGAGCCCCAACCTGGAACATCTGGTCACTTCCCTCCCCCAAGGAAGCTCCTGGTAGGGACTTGCTGTTTCTGGTCATCGCAGTTACTTTTTTGCTTTTAGCTGCCGATTTGTGCCAGGCAGGACAGGGTGCCCTTGGTACAGGACATGTGGGCAGATAACACGGCATGGTAAGGTGCTCGGGGAGTCTAGGTAGGAAGGGGGCCTTGCTGGTTGGTTGGGGCTTCATGATACTTTGCAGTGGTGGAGGCAGCTGTCGGGGGTTCTTAGAAATAAAGTCCTCCAGCCAGCTCTAAGGGCTTCCTCCTGCCCTGGCCTCAGCCTTACCAGGCCAGAGTGAGCAGTGGGCAGAAACCTTGACCTCGCTTAATATGGCCTTCATCCAGGTGAAGCAGAAAGAGCTGTGTCTGCCCTTCGCTTGGGTCTGTGTGAGAGCAAGGCCTTTGGCAGCCTGTGTCCTGCCTGTACCACTGGGGCTGCCTCCCACACCTTCCTCCACACACCCCTAGTGCCACAGTAAACACGCCCACCATTAAAGCAGACCAGGCAGTTACTAACGTGCCTGCCTTCCTCAGAGGCTCAGTGTTGAGTTGGAAGAGAGGGGTTTTACAGTGGGCCAGTCCTTAAGGCGGTGTTGGTGCTGGGCTGTGGTTGTGGCCTTAGGTCTGCTGGTGGGTGTGCTGTGCCTCCTTGGCCTCCACTCTCCTGGGCTCAGAAGGAAGTGAACAAGTCCTCTGTATGATGGGAAGGCCAGGCCCTCTCGTCCCTTTAAGGCAGCTTGGTGCCTGCCAGCCACCTCAGCAGGCGGCACTCAGTGGGCTTGTGTGCATCTGTAAACTCAGCACTTTGGGAGGCTGAGGCAGGAGGATCGCTGGAGCCCAGGAGTTCGAGACCAGCCCAGGCAATGTAGTGAGACCCCCATCTCTACAAAAAAACAAATTAGGCGGGGTGCGGTGGCTCACGCCTGTAATCCCAACACTTTGGGAAGTGGAGGCAGGCAGATGACCTGAGGTCAGTAGTTCGAGACCAGCCTGGGCAACATGGTGAAACCCCGTCTCTACTAAAAATACAAAAATTAGCTGGGGGTGGTGGTGGGCGCCTGTAATCCCAGCTACTTGGGAGGCTGAGGCAGGAGAATTGCTTGAACCGGCGAGGCGGGGTTGCAGTGAGCTGAGATCGTGCCATTGCACTCTAGCCTGGGCAACAAAAGCAAAACTCCATCTCAAAAAAAAAAAAAAATAAAATAGCTGGGCATGGTGGTTCACACCTGTGGTCCCAGGTACTCAGGAGGATCACTTGAGCCCAGGACATCAAGGCTGTGCAGTGAGCTGTGATCTGGGCGACAGAGTGACACCCTGTCTCAAAAGGGAAACTCGAGGGGCTCTGCTTTGTGTGCTTGGTGACAGCGTTCTCAAGCCAGTTCTGCTCGAGAGCCGGCAGCTCTCAGGACCCCACGGCTCCAGGCCAGGGCTCCTTCCCTAGAATGTGCTGTGTCTCAGGAATCCTCTTTCAAGGGATCTGTGATGGATCTAGGTCAGGGAATGTCCCCCCTGTCTCTGGCAAGCCAGGCTCCCCTTGGCCAGCCAGGTCTCATCTGACACGTTTTCTTTTCCTGCCCCCACAGGCCTTAGCAGTAGGAGGACTAGGCTCCATTATAAGAGTTCTTACAGCAAGAAAGACTGTTTAAAAAAAAATAAAAAGACTCATGTTACCTTGAGAAGAATTCTGGATGCCCAGGCTGGTGAAGAAGGGATTGACAATGGACCATCTTCCTAGGAACTCCCAAGTAAACTATTTCAGGACATGTATCTGCTGAAATGTATTTTATTTTCAAGGTGGAGGGAAAAATCGTCTATTTCCTAAATCCTGTTTAGGATCTGATAGTCTATGCCTTTGTCTCCGAGTACTGCAGAACTGACATTTTGACGATTTACCAGAGTGGCAGCTGGCGTTGGTCAGGTGCACCTGTGTGCACTGGGGGAGGGATGGTTTGGGCAGGTGCAGATCCAAGGGCTGTGGTAAACGGGAGAGCTTGTGTTTTTGAAGTGGAAAAAAACCCAAGAGTTTGTACAGACATCCCGTCTTCCCAGAGAAGGTGGACACTCTTGGGCTCATTGTAAAGTGCCTGCTGCATCAATAAAGCTCTTGGCTTATTAGTATATACATTGCGGTGTGTTTCATATATGTAAAAAAATGGTAATGAATGGGATGGTAATGAATGAGAGTTCAGTTGTTCCGGAAACCCGACGTGGGAGGAGTAGACCTGTGCCCCTGTTGAGTCACCCCTAGGAGCGAGCATGGCAATCCACAGGCCCTCTGCCACAGGACGCCAGCCTTGGCCTCAGAGCCGCTGGCTGCTGCAGAGAGGTGTTTGCTGAATGAACTATTTATTGTTTCTTACTCCTTTGATTTGTATGTAATTAATTTTGGAGCTTATTTAATAAAGTGCCAAACATTTAATAATTGATCTAGGCTTTAGAAGTCTTCAGTTTGTGGGATTGCACTTGGAATCTTTTGAGGGTGGGGCCTCCGATGTGCCTGGTCACGTTTCCTGATGCTGGGTTGGCTGTGCTGCAGAATCACTGCTGCCTGGACAAGTTTTCTTTAAAGAACTAAACGTCAGGAATGGGGAGCAATCAGCAAATAGATAGAAGGGATAATTTTGTTTCCCATAACCAATAACAGAGCCTCTCTGAAGGGCAAAAATGCTTTTCTTTCCTTTTCAGCACGTGTAACTGCAGCTTGCATTCTGTTAAAGGTTAGGGCCCCATTCACACTCCTGAAGCTCCTCTGGGTCATACAGCCCTTGGATACAGACTTTGACCAAAGTGACACAGTCCTCCCCTCCACAGCTCTCCCCTCCTCAGCCCCTCTGCAGAACCACTGCAATTCTTGGGGGGTAGAATGAGGCTGTTGGCTTCATTAAATTACATTTATTCACCCAAATCCAGTCGGGGGAGGTTCTTTCTGAAAGACAAACATTCTCTAGCCCTTGAAGTTGGCCTTGGAGTGTTAAATATGAGACACAAAATACCAGATTTAATGAGTCAAAGAAATAGTGACACGCCAAACTAGTAAAATCCATTGTAGTTGCATCTGGATTGAAGAGCTTTAATCAAAAAGTGTATTGCACCACAGATGAATTTTCTACAGCAGTTTTCAAGAATACAATCCTATTTACAACATGGAAGGAGAGCTCAAGATCCACTGCTTGTATAAAGGGCTATAGATACCGTCGCTATCACAAAGTTTTATACAAGTCAAAGTGCATTAAATCACTTAGAATATTTACTCCACTCTTCCTCTTAAAGCTGAAGGAAATTCAACATGCAGGAGGAAAGCCTAGTCAGTGAAGCCTCCCTAAAGTGAGTACAGACCTAGGAACAGGCCCCACAGCTACACCTAAAACGGCTGAGGAGTGGGACCTGGGGTGCGTGTGGGACCAGTTCAAGGGCTGGAGAAGCCACGGAGGCAGCAGACGGGCTTCCGTGGAAAAGTAGCTGCCTTTGGCTGGCTTTGAGCTACCCAGTCTTAGAGACACTCTCCTGGAACAGTCGAGAAAGGAAATCTTACTTTGAAAAAAGGCTGCCTCTTACCCATCAAACTTGGAGAAGAGACTCCTGTTTCGTGTTCCCACCAGGTAAATGGAAATTCGTGTTCTAAACAAGGGACAACTGTGTCTGCAAGGAGGAGCCAGATGAGGTGGTCAGTCACTGGAGAAGGGTGCCTCTGGAAGGCAGAGAGCCTGAGCTGGGACTAAGGAGATGCTGCCCTGGCTTGGTTCTTCATGGAAATTTCGTTAGGTTAACGTTGCAAATAGGTGTTTTTCTGTGACATACATTTTATATACCTATGTTGGCCCTAAGCATGATTGAGAAATACAACTTTCCATCACTGGATAATGGATAATAAATTTAGGAGCTCCAGTTATTAATTTAGTTTTTTATTTAACCAGTGAAACTTTCATCAAACAATAAACTGTCTCCTTTCAGATTCAATATTGTGGTTTTTCCAGAACCAGCATGTTCCCTTTCCTCAGTAGCGAGGAATCCATGAAACAAATTTTTGTTGGTTACTACCAGAGTCGTGCATGCTACAAGTGCCGCAGCCAGCTGGGGGCCGTCCGGGTGTAGTGTCAGTTTAAGTATTTGGGGTGGGATAAGGGGGAGAGAGTGGCTCCACACACAAGGTTGACTGCCCCAATGTCTCCATCAAGGCTGGGGGACAGCTGCTGCCCCACTGGAGACAGCGGACTGTCCTTCAGCAGAAGACGGGTGATCTGCATTGCCCAGTGGCCGCGCAGCACAGAATCCAGACAGATGCCACTGCGCTTCAGAGGGAGCAGTGCCAGAGTGCGAGTGAGAAGACAAAGGAACGGGAATCCGAGTTTTAGGAAGAATTCCCTCTGGACACTCTGATTTTAAGAACACCAGTTAAATGGATTTTATAATACAGAAGACATGTTTATAGTAGTGAAGAACTTCAGCTATAAAAAATAGTTTAAAATAGTTTACCAGCAACCTATCCAAGACAAGTACATTCATTAAAAAGGCAATTGAGTGTATTTGGTACTATACTTAGGGTCTTTCCATGTATTTGCTAGTTTTCTTAAGTGGAGATACCATCAGAAAGGTGCATATTCCTCATTCATCCACACCGGCCCTTAAAGATGGATCCTCTAAAGTTCTAGGTGGTTTGAGAGACAAGGTGAAAGAATGTTTTCTTGAGAGGAAGGGATAAAAAGCTTCTAACTCTCTGAATTTTTAAAAGCCACTCCCATGGAGTTCCCATGGAGTTGGCTGTTCCTGGCAGAGGCAGGTGGGTTTCGCCTGCCGGGCACCATCTCAAAGGGCCGTCTCTACCTCCCGCGGCATCGCTACATGGTGACTCAGGTGTGCCTGCCAGATGCTGATGGCTTCAGCTGTAAGTGCTACTGTGAAGTTAGAGGATTCAGGTGCAGACGGGGTGCTGGCTGGAGCTGGGATATTAGCAGCACTGTGGAAATCTGGGTAGTGCCAGGACCCTCCTGTTTGGTGACCAGAATGACAGGATCAGCTACCCCCTGAGGTTCAGGTCAGCCTGCAGGGAAGTGGGCCTTAGTCTTGTAAACAATGTTTAGACGCTTGTACAAAATACTGCAGTTACAGTGATTAAAAACCCACCCAGACTGGTGTGTCAGTGTTCTTTTCACAGAAAAAGTGTCAACCCACGGAGCTCCATCCTTGGGTAGTCCCCTCTAGGACCATGGTATCCGAGGGTTTGAGATAGATGGCCGGATGCTGCCTTTGGGAGCTGGTTTGGACCCAAACCATGACATCTGCATTTGAAACAGAAAAGGCTTCTGAGATGCAAATCAGGACTTAGTGCCAGGGAAACTGAACCACCCCTCCCCTCCCCTGAGCCTGTCACTCCTGCCCCCCACGCATCCTGCCTTTGGCTCTGAGCACAGCAAGAAGATGGTTCCAATAACCAGTCTGCAGGCCCGTGCTCAGTACCGGAGGGAAATGAGAGAAAAACACTGAGTTGACAGGAATAAGGTAGTGGAACTGTAGGTTTTTTTCCTATTAGAGCATTTATGTAGACACTTTTGGAATTTGAGTGCTGAGCCAGACCTGGGGCTCTCAGTAAAGCACAATCAATGAAAATGCTTTGAAAAACACGTGGCTTGTTGGTCAAGTACAGCACAGACGTTTGGGCACAAAGGATGTCATTGCTAAAAAGTGCCTGGATCAAGTTCATCCAACAGCAGCCAAGCTGATCATGCAGCTGTGCTGGTTACCTACATTCGTGTGGGGCTAAGGGGTCTTCAACTGCTACTGCTGGGATGACTGACGACATATTTTGGAAGCTGTAACAGTAGACCAGAGAACCCTACCTTATATTCCAGAGTTTCTTTGAGCATGTTCTCCTCCTCTTGGGAAAAGTTCAGCAACACCGACACAGCTTTTATAAGATGAAAAGCCTGAAACACAGTAAGTTTTGCTGCCATAGGCCAAGGTGGAGGTGAGGCGGGGTGGTGGGGGAGCTACATGGCATGTCCTGCTTGCTTTGGTTGGCAGGACCAGGTGGTGGGTGATGCTCTGGCACTCTGAAGTTTGGCAGCAATGATAGGTTCTTTCTTCCCCTGCATCCTCAGGGGCCTGGCAGGCTTCAGGGAATTTCCCCAGCAGCTACCCTACCCTTTGGCAGGACCCAGGAGTGATGGGTGGATTCTGCTCCCGGCCTCCACACCCAGGCCAGGATTTAGAAGTGGAGCCCACATCTCCCACCAGGAGCCGGTTCCTGCATGGCCTCTCCCGCCAGCTGTTCACTCCGCAGGCCAGCGCCAGCAGGAGAAATGACTGAGCGCCCACAAGGGCGTCAAATCAGGATGTACGAGGAGAAGGGAGAAATGGGCTGGGCAGGGGTTCCTGCAGGACAGACTGTAGGGCGGGGCCTCAATACCCAAAAGACACTTCAAAAGCCCTTTACCTCGGATTCGCGACAGGACATGAATTTTAAAACCACATGCTTAAGGTACTCAAAGTTGATCTCGCGGGCATCCGTCAGGTCAGCGTTATTCGTGACGGAAGGCGCCATGTTTGCCATGTCAGGTCCAGGTTTCTCCCGGACTTCGAAGAGCTCATTATCGGGTCTGATTTTCTGAAAAACCAATGGGAAAGATGTTACACTGAACCGTCTGAGGCAGGTGGGAAAAATCACACGGGAGGTTCACCTGGTCCAAACCATCATCACTAGTGTAGGGCAAAAAGGGCCCCACCTGAGAAGGAAGCACCTCCAGGTGGGCTTGAGGAGGGAGTGGCATCATTTGGGGAAACTCAGATATTCCCTTATCTGTGGCAAGAACACATGTCCCTGGGGCCTGGAGCTGCTGGCATCCCGCATCGGGCCAAGCACTCTGCCACACACACACTGTCAGAGCGTGGCTGTGCTGGCCTGGCAGACAGCCCCACTTTCAGATGAGGATGCAGGCTCAGAGAAGGCAGGCAGGGCTGCGGCCACGGAGCTGCTTCAGAGGTGCATGCAGGCTGGCAGGCTGGCCCACCAGCTAACACTGGACTGCCCAGTGACCCCTTGCAATTAATCAGGGGTTGGGGGGAGCATAGGCAGTGAGGGACCTCAGGGGGACCAGGCACAGGCCGCAGGGGGAGGGCTGGGAAGTGGGGCCAGCTCCTGTGGGGGCACTCACCAGCTCCTTCTGCAGAGTCTTCCGGAGCTCCAGCATCCGCTGCTGCATCTGCTTTATGGTCTGCGACAAGCCCCACCCCACAGACAGTCAATCATTATATGCATGTTTCACCAAAGGAAACAGAGCCGAAGATCCCACGGGGTCCCCTGTACGCCTGTGAGGAGCCTCTGCCCTGAGAAGTCATCCTGAGAGGCTGGTGCTCAGCTGTCGCGTGTTGTGCCTACGCCTACTGGGCTGTCATCCCTCTTGGGCCACTGCTTTCACACACTGGAGTCTCC